GATACGAATCGGAGACCACTGAATCCAGATCCTAGTGCCAAGTCCATGAATTCATTCTGGGTTCGCTCTTTCCCTCCAGGGTTTTGAGTCATCATCAATAGGTCAGATTGAAAACCAGACTTGGAAGTAGTTGTAGTCTCGGGCAAAGCCGGAAGAACTGAATCCACTACAATCACTTTTCCATCACTAGGAATTGCTTTATGGCAATTCTTCAACAGCTTCAAGCAGTGTTCATCACTCCAATCATGAAGTATCCACTGAAAAGTTAAATTGGTACACAATTAAAACCCATCACGTAATAATCATAGACCATTACAATTATATGACAACAATTTGCATTAAAATATATTATTTCCTAACTATATCATGTATTATATGTGAGAATATACTTGTATTTAATTTACTTTACCTACTGGGGAGATGAACATTAGTCAACCGTCGGCAGGAATCTTCTGGATCACGTGGATTTTAAAATCAATTTCAACACTTCATTTTTAAGGCTTTGGTTCATGACACTCCACTACCACGCCTTGGTAGGTAATTTTTGTTTTTATATTATTATTAATTATAAGCATGTTGGCATTGCTTTTTGACAAAATGTTTGCACTTAGTCGCTTTTTAAATTGCTAATATAAAAGTGATTATCATATCCGAAAATACAAAAGTGAAGGTGAGATATGTCAAACAAAAAAAGTGAATGTGATAAAAAAAAAGTTTAAAAGTTCCTTAAAAGGTTGAATTTACCTTCATAAAGATGGCGTCTCCGTTAGGAACACTGACAAACATATCTCCTCCTACATGTTCCACGCCTGCAACATTAAAACAAAATTAAACAACGCATGCATGCTCAAATTTTTGAACAAAACATTGAATGACAATGGGAAGATATATATATATACCAGGATATGTTGGGGCATGTTGAATGACATGAGGCAAGTCAAAATTAACAGCGTGAAGATTGGGATATTTAGAAGTGATTAGCTTGAGATTAATCCCAAGACCACCACCAACATCCACAAGCCTATTAATGTTGTTGAAACCTTGGTAGAACTCGAGAATCCTCTTCATGACAATAGTGGTAATGCTGAGCATAGCTTTGTTGAAAACATCATTGAACCTTGGATCAACTGCTGGATACTCAAATGCGTGCATGCCATGAGCCCTGTTGAATGGTATACCCCCTTCCAATATGGCACCTTTCAGTTCGCTCCTATTAGTCAACGCAAATCATCAAACAAACACATCACATTCAAAGGATAATCAGTCAAATTTTTTAACAAAAAATAATCATTAATAAAATAAACAAACACTTTATATCATAAATAGAGTTAAAAAAGGTTTGGTTTAGGCATCATTGATGGTTGTATGGACTAAAATGATAATGTTTTTAATTATATTATAGAAACGAAGAACTAACCAGCTTTCCAAGAAAACCCTGTCGAGAGTCAAGTTCAAGGCAGGTCCGAAGGAGACACCATGGTGATCAGTGACAAAATACTTGGAGGCAAAGGTGAGGCCATAGAGCTTCTTAGGAGACACAGACACTAGTTCTCCTTCAGCAAGAGATGTAGAGAGCATAGAGTGACTCGCCAATAGACTCAGAAGCCGATCCAGCATTGTGGCTGCTTCCGGGTTCTTTGACCCAATCTGCTTTACAATATCCTCTGCTGAGAGCTTCGCACCTTCGCCTGCTTTCGCTATTATGTCGAAGATTCCAAGCTCCACTGCGGTTCTAACCCCAAGTGGTAACACCATGGAAGACATCATGGCCATGGCAAATAGGATCCCATCTTCCTTCTCTTCCACGTGTTTTCTTACCTGCTTCGCTTCACCGTTCTCGTTGCTTTCCAACATTGGAGCCATGATCTCAATGTAGAAAAATCTTATCTACTAGTACTAATTGATGCTGTCTTTAGTACATGAAGGGTGTGTATGCTTATAGGAGTATATATACACATAAGAGCAACCCATAAGAGATGTTGCGCAAGCGTGACCTCCACTACCAAACCAAACCCATGTGTTGACATATTTTACCTACATACCTATATTTTTATGTAACCAAAAAAAAAAAAAAATATATATATATATATATATATATATAGAGAGAGAGAGGGAGAGATTTTTTCACTCTTTTATGTGTTATCTATTATAAGAAAAAATAATGTATATATGAATTTATTAACTTCCGCATAAGTCGGTAAGTTAACGAGTTATATCACGTGTAGATTATAAAAGAAAAATGTAATTACAACTTATAATATACTTCTAAAAAATTAAGTAGGGTGGATGTTAATAAACTTCACGAATATTTAGTAACGCACGTCTGCTTATTTTTTTAAGTCAGTATATATTGAGAAGATACACTATAGATGGATTTTAATGTATATAAAAATAAATACATCGAGGTTGATGAAGGTGGAAGCGATTCTGCGCGCGAACATAAATTAAAAAAATAGGCAGGTCACTGATGTTTATTTTAGAAAAATATTAAAAAATCATATAATAAAAAAAGATATGTGAAAATAGATATGACTTCAAAAGTGGATTATGTGTAGGGAAGATATTAGTATTATATTTAATTAATTAATAATAAATTATTTATAACTTTAAAAATATTTATCTCATTTAAATTAATTATGATAATCATATATATTTATTTAATAAATATGTTTATTTTATTTTATAAAAATAAAAATTATTATTGTTGTTGTTGTTGTTATAAGAAAGGGATGGGGGGAGGGAAATATTATTTTTATGTTTTGTTTGACAGGAATGATTTTTCTGATCCTACATATCTCTATATGTAATGGAGAATCAGAGTCACATATTATAGAACGCAGATTCAGCAAGTAAACATATAAAGCAAGATCAAAGGCATTAAATACAAAAATCCACAAAGCCTGTGCAAAATAAACAAGATTCAGATGATGGTCAGTCATAGTTGGGGTTTTTTGAGGGTTTTTCAAGTCATGTGCTCCGCCCTAGGGATAGGGTTGTCACTGCCCGTGTTTCTCCATTTTTACCAACTGAAGTTGGGTGACTCTCCCCTAGGGTGGGTGTCGTTGAACGGGAGTAAGGCTGGGAGATTATTCTCGCTTTACTCCAAGTCGTATAAGGGCTTCAAACAGGAGTTCTTTCGAGTTCTGCCCAAAGAGGTCGACCCGTTAAAGGATGAAGTATTCCACTTCGGCGGGTTGCCGAGGTTCCCTCTTTACTGGCAGCAGAATTCGATCAAGTTCAACGGGTCAAGAAGTCTTCAGCTGACAGCCTCGGATACTGCTGCCATTGCTAATTTAGTCGCGCTCCCTCGTCCCTTGGATTGCAAGCTCGTCCTGGCGCTTGCTAATTCGGCGTACAAGGAGAGGGGTTTAGAGAGTGAGTACCTCGGCACCCTTAGTTGTTGAGCTCTCTAACTTTTTCTTCTTTTTCTTATATGTTGGATTTTTGCGCTTCAGGTATCATGGGGAAAAGTAAGTGGCGCGAGCTGAAGGCCTGCTACAATGTGGTCGAGATCGAGGTTCCCGAGGTCGGCGAAGAGGAGGTTGCTCCTCTTGAAACCCGCAGAAAAAGAAAGAGGGGAGAGAAGGAGGTTGGGGGGACCTCCACCTCTCATGATGCTGAAGAGGTGACCTCGAAGGCCGCCGATGCCGATTCGGTCAACCTGACGGGGAGTCCTCCGCCTGAGGGGTCGTCCAAAGTGGTCGTAGAGGAGGTCGCTCGTGAGGCGCAGGTTTGTATCTCTCTTCTTATGGCTTTTCTTCCACATTGTGTGATTTTCTTGTTTAATAACTTGAAGAATTTTCGTGCTTTGTGTAGGCGGGGCCTGTGCTAGTTGCTTCCGAGGCGCGGGTGGAGCCGAATTTAGAGGCACCAGGATTGAATGCCTCAACTGCTGAGCAGGCAGCTCCCTCTTCAAATCCTGCCAAGGCTCGCAGAGAAGGGCCGAGCTTTGGGGCACCGACGTCGACCCCTACAGCCGCTG